TACCATTAAAAAAAAAAAAGATTTCTAGCAGCCTCCCCATTTTTGTCCACTAGATGCCAGTAGCACACCCTAGTTATGACCCCAAAAGATGTCTGCAGCCATTGCTAAATGTCCTGGCTGAAGAAAATGACACGTGGGCCACTTCTGAGCCTCTCCAGCTCCTGACGCTGACTGCCACAAGGCAGGGGTCAGATATGCCACCACCCTCCATCCTTCATCCCCCTGTTCAGATGCCCCTCTCTTCCTCCCCTGGCTCCGCCCTCTCCCCCCGCATCCTACTCTTCTGCTAGGTTCTGTCTTTCATTGCAAAGGCCACTGACCACTCACAGGTGTTCCTCCCGATTACGCGGTTTGCTAGGGAAGTTAGCAAACTGTACTTTAAGTGTGAAATACTTAGGATATAGTTGTTCAGGTGGACAGTTTCTTCACTGCCCTACCTGCAGGCAATTTCTCTTTGGTCCTCAGTCTGTGGGCCTTGCCTCTGCCCTGCTTGGCAATGTTACAACGCTCTTTTAGGGCTGCCAGTAGAGGCCCTAAGGCTGCAGTTCTCAACCGGTGGGGTCGGGACCCCTTTGGGGGCTGAAGGACCCTTTCACAGAGGTCGCCCGATTCCTATCAGTAGCAATTTACAGTTATGAAGTAGCAATGAGAATAATTTTATGGTTACCGGTCACCACCGCATGAGGAACTGTGTTAAAGGGTCGCAGCATTAGGAAGGTTGAGTGGCCTGCAGCCTGTCAGTGACCACTGCACCACTAGGGCTCACTTTGAGTGGTCCGTCAATTGGGTTTACCTAGTGATAGGAGGACCCCTTGTGGCCAAGTGGATTATGTTGCTAACCACAGGTGTGCACTTTGAAACCACCAGAGAAAGATGAGGCTTCTACCCTGGCAAAGATTCTTAGTCCTGAAGGCCACAGGGGCATTTTTGCCCCGCCCCATAGGGTCGCTCTGAGTGGGAAACCGCTGGCTGGTGGTGAGGCTGCTGGGTATTCTGTGCCCGGACTTGCAGAGCGCTCAAACAGGACAAGGTGTGCATCCCACGGAAACAAAGTGAAACCACCGCTCATTTAACATAACTAATCATTTTTAAACAATGAGTTGAATTTGATCTAAATAGATGAACGTAAAAATACATAACTGTCCCAGGATGGTAAGTCTTGGTTGCTATACAGTAAATCTTTTTCTTTAAAAGATTGTGTGCCCCACCAAAAATTGTGTGTGTGAAATTGTGACTATAATTCAAGTACATACCTATGCAAAAAGTTAACTTGCTCATAGGAAAAAGATGAGCAGGAAATAGGTAACATTGTTCTCATGGTTGTCTGTGGGAGAGAATATCCAGTTGTTTTTTTTCTTCTTCTAAGTGTATATGTTTTTCAAGGTTGTTATAATGAGTTTATAATTCTTTTTTACATTAGAGAACATTGTCTTTTAGTTCTTGGCCACAAAGTTACAGCATTCACATAGTTTTTCTTTTATATAATTTGTGCTATATTATAAAATGCTCTGTTTTAACTTTATCATAAATATGTTGTCATAGTTCTGTGACCTTTTGAAATGACCTCTCCAGGAGCTGACTTATAGGAGCGTTCTGGAAGAGTATAAGAGGAGTGATTTGGGGAACCAGGGAGCTGCCTTTTCGCGTGTTCCTTGAAGCACTTTTTGCCCTTTCTCTGTGCGCTTTTATTCTAATAAATACATATGGGGCTTCACGGTTGATCCTGTTGGTATTTCAGAATTTTAAAACTATGTCTTTTTGTTGTTGTTGTTTTTTCTTTTAATCATTTTATTGGGGACTCATACAACTCTTATCACAATCCATACATGCATCCATCGTGTTAAACACATAAACTATGTCTTTTTTAAAGGTCATAAGTCTCCACTTGATTCGTGTTTTACTATACGTATTAGTAAATTTATAGCCCATTCAGTAATTTCTTGGATAGAAAATTAAAACCAACCCAAGATTGCACTATGATAGATAACCCTGCAGAAATAACTTCTGATATGTTCTTTTTCTTTTTCTTTGAATTATTAGTATAGAATATATTCCCAAATAGTTAGACAGTGGGGCCTCAAAAAGTTTGTGGGGGCGGAAACCCATTATCTTTTAGTTCTGTTTTCCCATGAGCTTTTTGGCATCCCCCTGCTGAAGGTTCAAAGAATACATAAGTGAGTTATAAAATGGTTGAATCAATTCATATTGCCATCCAAGGAATGTAAGTTTCACCCACAGTATTGCCAACCTTGGGCATCCGATATGATTGTAACCTTTTAAATGCTATGACAAATGTGGAGAACAAAAACCTATTAACTTCTAAAAGCTTTTTTCTGTATGTTTGGACTTCAATAATAGTTTCTCTTCTTTTGTGAATTTCGGAAAAGTATATAAACCTTTCTCCCCTTTTCTTCTTTCTTAACTGAATAGAACCAAGCGATTGAAGTAGCCTGGGGTCAGCAGCCTGCCTTCTTGAGCTGGGTGGAAGGCAGGCATTTTAGTGACGAAGGTGAAAATGTGGCCGAAATTAACCGACAAGTCGGACAGAAACTTGGCCTTTCCGATGGGGGGCAGGTAAGCATCCGCTGTGAGGAGTGAAGCCCTGCTTGGCTGTGCAGTGTGGCGGGGTGGACCTGGAGCCCACTCCGGCTCTTCCCGCCCCATAGGACAGAGCAGAACCACCCCGTTTGCTTTCCTGAGTTGTAGTCGCGAAGGCCAGCCCCCAGTCCCCCAGATCTTTTCTGCCCCAGAATGGTTCATGGGTTTGAACCACTGAACAGCTCACCGTTTACCCACCAGGGTAATGGAATATAACAGCAGAGATAAAATGACAAGTTAAACGGGTTTATTTTTCAGGAGGTGAGAAGAGCCCTGCCTTATCTATTGCTCTCACCAGTCCAGGACACTCACGCTGGCTGTCCCCTGTCAGGTCACCGTCAGCCAGTCAGCTGTGTACCCAACAACTGTTTCACTGGGATCACTCACTGTCTTTCTGCACGTGTATTCTTCTGTGAATGGCCGTTTGTTTTCTTACTATAGAAATGCATTCCCCTTGTTTTGACACATTTTCTAACTCCCGTGCATATACGCAGAAAGAGGAGGCTGCCTACCACGGTCAAAAAATTCACAGCCTCCGTAAGCTTCTCGGGAGTGACTGTGAGTTTGGAATCACCTCACCAGCAGTGAGCACGGGTCTACTTGATTTTTAACATCTCTTTGACCAAAGAGGGTTGTTAGTGTCCATTTTTGTGTTGTCTACGAACGTAATGTGCTTAGGTTATCAATCCCAAAGTCAAAGGAGTTAAGTCTGGGGTTCTTTTTGGTTTGTTTGTTTTTAATGTTCGCCATTTATTGCTATGCCATTATGTTATATGTGTTTTCGTTTATAATGCAAGTAGGAGAAGTGAGATGTTTCCCTTTCCTGAGTCCTAGCCTTTCACACCCTCCTCCTGCGTGCTGACTGACCATTGGCCTCTCGCTGGGCCTTTAGGGTTCAATACATGAGATCACACAGCTTTTCTGCAATGTTTTTTACACAAAATATGTTGGCGAGTCCTTATGTGCATTACGAAATGTGACTTGAACATCTTGCTCTCGGTATATATCTTTGCACATTTGTTGTGTTTAAATGGAATTAAGTATTTAAAAATTGAATGGCCAGTTCTAGGAGGCTGTATATTTAAAAATTGTATAACTAGGCTTAAATCTGACTCTGCTACTAGTCTCCCACCCCATACACAAGAGTTCTGCAGGTTTTTGACTGATTTTGAACATAGACTGGGTTTGTTCAGACATGTGTTGATAGTAAGCCTGGAATACCAGCACTAACCCTTCGCCTCTCTTACATTTGTGCTTGAATATTATAATTTTGGCCCCAGTGGAACCTTAGCAGCCCCCGAGTTGTCTGACTCTATTGGCCTGTGGAGATGCTGTATTTTGCCCAAGATTTCATCTGTACAGCTCTGCCAGTGTCTATATCTGAATCAGCACTGTAAGCAGCCCTCCAGATATTCATTCCCATTTGTGTCTAAGTGCCCTCTTAGCATATTTCCTACAGACCTTCTGTCCTGGGCCTGGCAAGCCCAGGCCTCCTCAGATGTTGGTGAGCAGGGGCTGCGTGGGGAGTCCTGTTCGAGGAGAGAGTGCAGGCAGCTGTAGGGCAGCTGGCACAGGAGTCAGGGGCAAGCTCTTGTAGGAATTCAGTGAATGCCCAAAAGAGCAGGAGAAAATGACTGCTTAAGCTTTCTGTACACCAAGCATTGAGCCTTTAGGAGCCTTAGATTTTCTTTTTCTAGTCGCCATAATTACCTATTGAAAGGGAAAAAAAGTAAGATGATGAATTCCAGGTTCTTGAGACGTTATATTGATTCCTGTTTCCTTTTGGCCTAATTGCTGTTGTTCATATCTGATGCCCAAGAGCACCCTAGGACTAGTCCCTTGCCTTTCTTAAATTTGTGCTTGAATATTAGAATTTTAGCCCCAGGGGGACCTTAGCAGCCCCCCAGCCCCTGAGTTGTCTGACTATTGGCCTGCGGAGACTCTCTGGGCCTTTCTCCCGATAGAGGTGGTCAGTGTTAGCTCTTACACCTTGAATCTGCAATGAGGGCTCTTTTTTGTTGGTTTTCAGCTGTGTAGGATTTGACCTGCCAATCATTTGCTCTGGTCTCCAACCCAGTATGTTTTCACTTTCGTGGGAGCATCGTGGCTTGAAGTAGGTTACACAACTAATGGTTGAGAAATATCCAGCAATAATAAAGAGAGTGTACACTAGCGTAAGGGACACAAATGGGTGACACGGAGGGTAGGTGCTTAACTGCCAACTGAGAGGCCAGGAGTTCGAACCCACCCCGGACACCTTGGAAGAAAGGCCACAGCCTTGAAAGCCCTCTGCAGCACATGAGTCAAAGCCAACCGGAGGGGCGAGCGGCGTGGCTTTGTTTTGAACTGGATCACACCATGATCTGATGACCCTTTCCATTGCTTCTTAAACGTAGCCTAGTTGAGTTCTTAGACCTTTAGACTTAGTTTTTAGTTTGATGATTCCTGGTCTTTAAAAAACAGAACATGGCAGGATGTGTTTTCCTGTATTCTGTCATTAGTTGTGAAACTCTATTTCTAAATAATGCTGACCTGACTTAGAATAAGTGTCTAATATTTGTTAACTAAAAGTATATCAGTGTTTTTTAATTGTGGTGAGTATATAGTATAATCACCTTTGCCATTTCAACAGTCATAAGAGTATATATGCTTACTTGTTTACCTATAAAGAAAAATTCTTATTCTCTAGCGATATAGACAATCTCTCGAAGGTAGTTTTAATGTTCTAATTTTTTCTAGGTTTTTCTCAAGCCCTGTTCTCATGTGGCGTCTTGTCAGCAAGTTGAGGTGGAGCCCCTCTCTGCAGACGATTGGGAGATACTGGTAAAATGCACTCGGCCCGTTTAAGGTTCAGCTCCTTCCCAGCACGAGGTCTTTCCACTTCTTTTCTCTGTGCTTCGTTGCGTGCTGTGTGTTGGCTTCAGTTGTAAGCGTAATGGAGCTGGCTTTCCGAGGCGTGGAACGGACCAGACAGTGACTGAATCTTCTCGTCTTTGGGTTCTAGGAGCTGCATGCTGCTTCCCTTGAACAGCATCTTCTCGATCAAATCCGCATCGTTTTCCCGAAGGCTGTGTTTCCTGTTTGGGTTGATCAGCAGACTTACATTTTTATCCAGATTGGTAGGTGGTAATGTGATATTTAGGAGTCATGGTTAGTTAGCAGCAGTTCAAACGCTCAGCTGCTGCCTGAAACGTCAGCAGTTCGAACCCCAACCACTCCACGGGGGAACACTGTGACAATTGGCTTCCATAGAGTTGTTGCAGCTTTAGAAACCCTATAGAAACCCTGCCCACTACTGCAGAGTTATTGTGTGGTGGAATCGACCCCAGGGCACAGGGTCTGGTTTTCTTAAACTGTGGGTCATAACCTCCTATGGGCTGTCATAACAGAATGTGAGGGTTTCAAAAAAGTTGGCAACAGTGTAAGGTTTCTGAACATTCAATGACCAAAAATTAATTCAAAATCAAACAAGTAATGAATCCGAGGCTGTGTTGCAAATCTGCTGGGTAAAAAGGGATCACGGTGGAAGTAATTGAAGAAGCCCTGCCCTATACCATAGGACCTTGTCCAAAGCAGGAAGGTAAATGCATACTAATGAGCTTTCTTCCCCACACAGTTGCACTACTGCCACCTGCCACCTATGGAAGGCTGGAAACTGACACCCATCTCCTTATTCAGCCAAAGACACGCCAAGCCAAAGATAGCATGCTTCCAAAAGCAGACGGTTCACAAGGAAGCGTTGAGAATGACGGAAGAGACCAACAACGAATAAGGAGAGAGCTTCAAACCAAACAACTTCCGTCCAGCTCTGTCGGAGTCACCGGGCCTCTGGAGGCAGAGCCAGGGCCCACGATGGACTCATCCTCAGCACCGAGCTTGTGGATGAAGATAGGGAGCCTTTTTTCTTTTGGATCTGAGAAGAAACAAGAGCCATCCTGGGGATGGACTGAAATAAATGCATTCAAAGATATGCAGTCCAAGGTGGTTCCTCTAGACAATATTTTCAGAGTATGTAACTCTCAGCCTCCCAGTGTACGTCACAGGTCACCAGCATCTGCGTTTCACACACACCATGCCGTTCATGTCTTCCCATGGGACCAGGAGTATTTTGAGGAGGAGCCCAGCCTTACCGTGACCTATGGGAAATTAGTTAAGCTACTGTCTCCGAAACAACAACAAAGAAAAACTAAGCAGATGTCAGAACCACCAGATCAAAAACAGACTAGCTCCGACCATGGTCAAGAAGCTGGTAAGACTTGTGTGCTGCAGGTAGTCTGGAATGGACTTGAGGAATTGAAGAATGCCATAAACCATACCAAACACGTAGAAGCTCTCCATCTTGGTAAAGTCTGGGTTAGTGAAAACTTTATCATTAGTGGGAAAATAACTTGCTGTTGCTTCCCCAAATTATGACTTAGAAGAATATTTTCTTTTTTTTCACCCCACCCCACTATTTTCCATATAGTACATTAAAAACTAACTAATAAGAAGCACAGTATTGAATGAACGGTTTTTGAACTCATACTTAATTGTAGGCCTAATGACATGGACCAACTTAGTTCTTATGACGTGGGCCCAACTCAGTGCTGCCCGCGGTGATCACTGAAGATACGGGTGCTGCCGCGAAGTGTGCTAAAGAAATCAGGTGATGTCCAGCTCTCAGCAAGAGCATCTGGAGTCTAAATGAGATGTCAGCCAAGTCCAGCCTTTGTACTGTAAATAATAAAATTTACAACGTCAGAGAAGGGAGTGGTAGATTAGATTTCAGTTCTAAGCGCCCAGTTTGCAGAAGGCTGTGGATGACAGTGAAATCCCCAAATCCATTTGCAAGGGCCCCACTGAATTCAGTCTCCCGGGATGCACTGTGACCATATACCAGGCGTGTGAAAAGCCTTGTTATCGATCAGACAGAGTACATTGGAAAGTGGATTAATGCAGATGTAGAGTTAAAATTTACCTTATCATTTGTTCTCCATTTTGACCCGTTTTAAATTTGTTCTAGTTTTTACTGTCTCTTTTGGGGGAATGGGGGGGACAGCTTAGTTTTTACTATCTTTTCAACTGAGTTCTGTTATATTTTGTTACTTTTTTTAAATCTTTGTGTTTTTGCATATTTTTCTCCATATGAACTAAAGGATAGGTGAGTCTATAGACAATAACTAGATGGATAGTTTCTTGGGGTTATGGCTGGGGAGGTGGGGAAATGGGGAGCTAATAATAATGAGTATGAGGAAGAATAAAATGTTCTAAATTGATTGTAGTAATGATTGCATGATTATGTTTAATATGTTTAGATTATTGAACCCTATGATATATAAATCATATGTCAATGAAGTGGTTAAAATTAAAAGGAAGAACCAGTATCAAAGGGTGCTGGAAGGACATATTGCTGATGACAGGGTGTTGTTTGGGTACACATTGTGTGTTTCTGGCTAAAGAAACTCAGGTACAGGAAAGGTTATACCCTTCTCATTCATTGTAGAAGTCTCGATTTTAGATTTTACGTAATAAAGATATATTCTAGCAAGGTACATATGTACAAGGAAATATAGGGAAACGAACAAGAGCATATTGTGTACTTTCTAGGTACGCTTGCACTATGATGATTTATTTTTCTTTTGGTTCAGTTACTGAATTAATGAATATATATATATGCTAGTTGTGTGTGTGCTCATTAAACAAACATCTTTATTTGAAAAGGGGAGGACCAGCCCTCCCTTCCCCCACAGTCTGGACAGACTTGCCTGCGGGCTTGACTGGGTCGTGCAGACTGCTGTCACACAAGAAAGCAGAAGCCCCAGTTATATATAGTTTGACCCCAAGAGAATTTTTTTCTGACAGTGATAGCTAGAGCTAGCTCTTACATAGCACATGCTATGATTAGGTATTATTCTAATCACATTACCCACTTTAACTCCTTTAATCGTCCATAGCAACCTCATGAAGTAAGTACAATTATTATCTCTTGTAGATGAGGACGTTGAGGTTCACAGAGAGCAGAATTACTTACTACAAGTCACACTCCTAGGAAATGGTAGAACTGAATTCAAACTCCCTGGCTGACTGACCTCTGAGTTCATGCTTAGCATGGACTAACCTCCAAGGCCTCACATCTGTGCCTACAGAAATGCATTCCCAAGTCTTGAAGCAGAGGAAAGCTGGTTACATCCTGAGGAAAATGCCCAGTGTAGGAGCGTCTGACAACGTAAGGTGACTGTCCTGCCTGTGAAGTCATCTGGGTCAGAGAACATCCAGGATCTGGTGACAGGCTGCTCTCGGCTCTTTGGCTTTTGTTTGACTGGGAGAAGAAGGGGAGCGGCTAGTGTTGTATCACAGGGTCCTGACCTCAGATGTGAATATTATATGTGGAATGAATCACAAGCACCATTTGCCTGAGCCCAGTTCTGAACCACAGGGAAGAGGGGAAGAAACTGCTAGGAAAGGGAAGAGAAGCAGTATAGAAAAGGAGTGTCATTGGTCGATCTCTTACCTGTGACTTTTATACAGATACTTGACAGAGCTCTAATCTCGTGACTTGAATTATTTCCTTAAAGCTCCAGACCATTCATTGCCTTATTATTTTCTGTTAGCTCTGAACACATGCAGATTCAAAATGTCTTAATATCAGACATGTCATGACTTACCTGCTTAGTGGTTATTTGTTGGGCCGTGGTCCACAAGGTTGGCAGTTAGAAACCACCAGCAGCTCCTTGGGAGAAAGATGGGGCTTTCTCCTCCCTTAAACAGTTACAGTCTTGGAAACCCACAGTTCTACCATGTCCTCCAGGGTCACAATAAGCCATGTTGACTTCATACCAGTGGGTTTGGTCTAGTGCTTGGGTGGTGGTTTTTGGAGCCATTCGGCAGCAATGCCCTTTACTTGAAATTGGGTGTGAGGGCGAGATAAAGAACTGATACAGTCCTGGGAACTGGATAAGACAGCGGTGAGGACCATGCATGCCCCTTGGATGTTAAAGGTCTGAGAACCACAAGCAGTGAGAGGGCAGTAGGAGCAATCAGGTGTTCAAATAGGCTTGACTTGATAGGTAAAAATTGACTACTTGCAAGTTACAACCTGATAATATTAATTTGTTACCCTGTGAAGCAAGGTGCTTCTTCTTTTTTAAAACAAGAAATTTGATTGATGAATTGCTAAATCAAGATAGGCACCTTATCACCACGATCTAAGTTTAGAACCTTTTCATCAAGGAAGGTGAGAAACTTACCCTTGGCCTTTTAGATGAAGTTTCTCTCTGGATTTAATGACGTAACGGGGCCTGTGGCAGATTGTACAGAGCCCATGGGCGTGGTGGGTTATGAGGTGGGCTGGTAACCACAGGGTCAACACTTAGAATCCACACGCTGCTCCGTGGGCTTTGTGCTCCCCTAAAGATCCACAGCCTCACATCCTAGGGACCAGGCGGCTGTGGGTTTTATTAGCTTTTTCACTGGTTCTCAACTTCCACAAACGAAGATTGCTAAAGATGGCAAATTTGCATTGAATCTGAATGTAATTGTGCTTCAGTTAAAAAGATGGTCATTGTGGATGAATCAAGTACATCCATTTAAAGCTCTTATTCTAAAGAAGATGTAAAGAAAAAAAGACATGTACAGAAGATAAAGTGTTTGTTGTGTAACAATACTTGATGATCCGACTGGTGAATCATTGTGACAGCATTTATAATTTCATTAGAATTCAAAGAAGTTAACGTCACCATTTATGCTGTGGACCCTTTTAATCAAGCTTTTTTTTAAAAATCAAGCTTTGAACATATTTATATTTCTGTTTATTTTTGAATTTCAGATTCCAGATGACCTGAGAAAGAGACTAAATATAGAAATGCATGCAGTAGTCAGAATCACTTCAGTGGGGATGATCCCCAAACTGCCGAGATCACTCAGATTACAACCTAGAGAGAACTTAGTGAGTTCACATTTTGTGTTATATTGAAATTCTTTGACATGTAAAATTTCTAAAATAGCTTTAGCTAAGTTATAAGAATGTTGTGCTCTTTTGCTAGAAGGGCAAAGAGGTCTTGAACAAGAGATACACATTATTTGTATTGTGCTGATGCAAACATGGATACTATTGGCTTTTAAAGAGTTGATAGTTTTACCACAAGCAGGTAATTAAAATTTCCTCCTCATCTTCCAATATTAATATTATAGCCTAACAGCTTATAAGCTGTTTTGTTTTCTATTTAGCAAATCTTTTTAAAACTAATATGGTCAGGAAATGTGGGGTATTGAACTTGATTAAAAGTTATTTTAAGAGAGTGTTCTCCTAAGGATCATGTTGGGGTGACTAGTTCCTCGAGTATTATAATAGAGGAGAATTGCCATATTACGTGTTCAAAAACTTCCAAACATCATAGATTCTTTCTCTGATCCTTCAGATGGTTCTTTTAGCTCCTCAGGGTCAGGGTGTGCGTTAGATCATGGAAAACCCAATTTAACAGAACAGAGCAAGGAGCTCCTGCACGGGACTGAAAAGGAGGAAATGCAAAGACTAAGTGTTACTTCTTAACATCAAGTATCTGAGCACTGGTGGCACAGTGGTTTAAAGTGTTGTTTTTGACTCTTTGGGTATTGATTCAGGTATTTTCCCAAGGTTAAGAGCCCTGCATAAGAAAACAGTTAACCACTGGTTGTTAGATTTTTCCCTTCCATCAGTGATGGGTTATTATCACACCACCCTTTCCTACTCTGGTGCCCATGTTCTGGGGGAAAGCAAATGCTAGAAGCCTTACGGCTTTTGCCAGGTGTCTGAGCTGTGATTCTATCACCTGGGACATGGGAGTGTTTGATTCTGCAGCAATTTAAGTTCCTTTCTGGTTTTGAACGTCTTCAGATTTTCATTTGAGGATGTCCTGGTTCTGGTGGCACTGTGGGTTAAGCGTTGGGTTGCTAACTGGAAGGTCTGGGCTGAGAGAAAGCTGGGGCAGCCTGCTTCTGCAAAGGTTCACCACCTCGGAAGCAGTGGATTTGGGGGCTCTGCAGGGGATAGATCTTTGCCCCATTGCCACAGATACCCGAAGCAGCCACTGCTGGTTTCTGTGATTTTAAGAAGGGGTGTGATACTTGTTTGTTCGTTTGGGCCACTTTGGGGAGTGATTGTTTCTGAATTGAGCTTAAGTAGTAGAGCTAAGCTTGATTCTGGAAGAAGAAAGATAAAGAAATGGACCATTTTCAAAAATGGCAAGATAAAGGTTTATTTTCCTGTGCAGATATTAACCAACCTTATCAACTTTTCATTATTCCCATTTTTGCTTTTAAGTGGGTTTTAATGATCTTGATAAGGTTAATTGAAAAGGGTTTTTTTTTTTAAGTTTTAATAACAAAAAAAGTTTTAATAATTAGCAATGTTTTATTCAGAATTTCTTTGTTATTGTAATAAAAAAAATACGTGTAACAAAACATTAGTCATCTTAACCATCATTTAATGATTAATTAAATTTACCACCGGTATCTGTTTCCAGTTTTTTCCCCCATAACTTTAATGAAAACCTCAATACCCTTAATTAATAATTTCCCATTGCTCCCTCCCACCTACCCCTGCTAGTCATTCATAATGTTGGCCTCTGTGCATCGTTTCTTTCCTGTAAGTTCAATCATACAATATGGTGTGTGACTTATTTCAATCAGCATAATGCTTTCCAGGATCCTATATATCTTTGCGTTGATCAGAACATCATTTCTCATTAGGACAGAATGATATTTCGTTGTATATAGCCCACATTTTGTTTATCCATTTTTTGATGGACACTTGAGTTGTTTCCCCATTTGGATTGTTGTGAACAGTGCTGCAATGGATGCTAGTGTACAAGTAGGTGTTTGAGGCTCTGCTTGCAAATAAGGAAATTAAGGTTAAGACCAGGTTTCAGGGTAATGTATTCCCACTCTCTGCTTTTCTCTGCCAGCCTGAAGATGTGAGTGAAGAAGACGTAAAGACTGTGTTCCAGTCATGGCTCCAGCAGTGTACTGCAACCACACGTCCTTTGATAATATCGGAGGAAGAAGATATAAAGCTGGAAATTAATAATGGTGGGTAACTCGTCATTTTTGCTCTTAAAATTGTCATAATACTTTTATTTATTTATTTTTAGTCTTAATACTTTATTAAAACTAGTTTTACAAGTTATGACAGCTATGAACAATGAAATAGTAATGATAATTAAAGTTGATTTTATGCATTGAAGAAAGGACATAGTTGATGCTGCCTTTACTTACATTGAAGGTAATTTGATACTTAGAATTCTGAATTGTTTTATTCTTTAAGTTCAGTGCTAATTCTGCATTACAACTTTTTTTTTCCCCAATAGAGCTGAAGGAGTTTTCTCTGAAAATGGTCCATTCATGGGAAAATGAAAAAGATAAAACAAGAGATGTTTTTTTGCTGAGTACCAACCTACTGCAGAAGACCACTACACAAGTAATTATATATTTCTAATTATATATTTATAGTATATGTTATTGATAATTGAGTATGAATTTATCTCTAAGACTTTATATCCTCAAGTTTATTAGAAACCCAAAGAATAATAAAATTTAAAGTATTTTATTCTATAATCTGCTTTAAATTAGAGCAATTACTGGCTTATCTGAAACTTAAACCAATGCCTCAGCACAATAAGCCACAAAAATAGAGCTGATTATTTTCTCTTGCAAATGGATCTTGAGTTACTCTTTTCTTATTCATGAAACAAAGGAAAACTTAGTTTTAAGGGATTGGTTTTAAGAATTTATATTTTTCCTATAATTTTGCTATACTGCTCGTGTTATTTTGGCAGTTCTGAAAATTCTCAACCAGTATTATTTGGGCAGTTCTTAAAATCGCCATTCTGTGCAAACATTATCAGATCTCTTTCAAAATGTGGTCTTTTGAGGAGCTGATATCAAGGGCTCAAATAGAAAGAAAATGTTTTGAAAATGATGATGGCAGCATATGTATAAATGTGCTTGACACAATGGGTGGATGTACGGATTGTGATAAGAGCTGTATGAGCCCCCAGTAAAATGATTTTTTTAAGATGGTCTTTTTAGATAATTATGTTTTAGTTGAATAGCCACTCAGTTCATTATAGAGTATTGAAAATACTCTAGTAGTTAAGGATTTTAATGTTTTGGAACAGGCATTATTTCGTTACTTTTGGAATATAATTGGAGAAATACCATTCAGAGAAGATGCAAATGTAAGAATTCTGAAAATAATGATTTTGACGTACATCGAGGCTGTCAGTGACTTGCCTCAGAAGCAGGAGGTGTCGTGGCCTCTGGTTCACGTCTCATTGCCACCGTTAGAGGCTGAGGCAGCAGCGAGCAGGAACAGACAGAGCTTAATAGAACTTGTTAAGGCGCGGTATTCTCTTTATGTTAGTCATAGATATTTAAGTCTCGGGAATGAGTAAAGCCTGGTCAAGGCAGTTTTAAGTAATGATCGTACATGTACAGTGTATCTTTTCTTTCTGGTGGAATAAAATTAACGACTCCCAGGTCCGATTCTTTGCATTTGAGGAAAACATGCAGAAGACATAGCTTTTAAAAGTAAAACGATTTCCCCTTGCTACTCTAGGTGCTTCTAGATCCTCTTGTCAAAGAAGAAAACAGTGACGAAGCTGACCTCGCGGTCCCTTGTTTAAAGCTGACTTCATTGGGGTAAGATGGGTTGGCCTAATTAGCATGCTTAAAGATATGCTTTGACATTGTCTCTGGCAGCGTCTGTATGTATAAATCTTAGTTATTAATGCAAATGAATATCGCACTCATGTACTTTAGTTAAGTGCCATCAAGCTAGTGTTCAACTCATAGCAAACCCATGTGACAAGAGAAGAGCCCATGGGGTTTTCTAGGCTATGCATAAGCTTTACATAACTACTGTTTCTCCCACAGCGCCACTGACTGGGTTTGAACTGCCCACCTTTCAGTTAGCAGTCAAGTGCTTAGCCTTAAGCTACCAGGCTTCCTTCATTAATGCATTCAAACCAACTCCATTGCAGGCCCTGTAGGGCAGAGTAGATCTAACCCCTAGGATTTCCAAGGCCATAATTTTTTTTTCCAAGGCTATAATTTTTACGGAGACAAAGTGCCACAGTTTTTCTCCTGCCAAGCCGCTGACGCATTCAAACTACCCACTTTTTTATCAGCCACCAAGTGCCTAACAGCTGCGACACCAGGACTCCTCCTCCTACTGCATTAATAGATACTTTTTCAAGGATTGTGCCTTGGCTTCACACCTGATTAGTGATTTATCTGCTTTTCTCAGCAAAATCTGAAGTGTATTCAGAATTTTATTTTCAGAATTGATTTATGAGATGAAATGTGATTTATGAGAATATGTGAGTGAGACTGTATGGGATTGAATCAAACATCACAATTCTTAGAGCAAATAAAAGTTCAATCTAAAAGTTGAATGTTTAAAAATATTTAAATTGTTATTCCTTTACCATCTTATTAATATAAGAGTTGGGTTGTTTGTGCTTTTCTCAACTTTTTTTTGTTGTTGTTTTTCTCAACTTTTAAAGACAGATAAATGTAAAAAGAACCTATTCTTCATTTCTTTTTCTCTTAAACACAATGAAAATCTAATAAAAAGACTGCATTAGAATTCTTCACTGAGTGGGGCCAGCCCCAATCCCAACTATATGGATAGGTGCCCCTCCCCCCAGAAAAATTCACGTCAGAGGACAGCACTGAAGCTACAATTCAGGGAGAAGGACATGTGTGATCATAGCACACAGGAGCAAATGAAGGGGGAGGAAGAGAGAGTGGAGCACAACCTGGCCCACCAAGCTTTGAGGACAATATTCCCACTCAGAGCAGCCAATGCACAGAGAAGACCATATGGCCGGCCCCACTATGAGACATGACATCCCTCACTGACCCATAACCCTACGGGGTACAACACTGGTGACACAGTGTGGGAATTGCGTCCAATCTGACCCCACCACACTGATGCAAAACACTAAGCATGTGCAACAGAACAGCAAGGGGAGCAGAGCAAGGAAGTCCCAAGGGAATACCAAAAATAGACTTTGGGCCCAGGGTGTGGCACCCCATCAGACTCCACTGGAAAACACTTCTAAAGGTCAACAAATAGACCTTAAACTATTTACAGGGTTTTCTTTTTTTGGTTGTTTTTTTATTGATGTTATTTTTTCTTTTGTTGCTTTGTTTTGCTCTGTCTTGTTTTTGTGCGCATTATTATCTCTGCAGGACTATCTAGATAAGATAGGCGGGATAAACAAGCTGGAGGAGAAAACAACGGGACCAACAGTTGGGGGGATATGGGGGAGAGGGAGGTGGGGGGAAAGGAAGTGGTGTTAACAAACCCAGGAACAAGGGAACAACAAGTGATCCAAATCGGTGGTGAGGAGGGTGTAGGAGGCCTGGTAGGGCTTGGTAAAGGGCAATGTAACTGAAAGGAATTCCTGAAACCCAAATGAAGACTGAGCATGGTAGTGGGACAAGAGGAAAGTAAAAGGAAATAGAGGAAAGAACTAGGAGGCAAAGGGCATTTATAGAGGTCTA